ACAGACAGACAGAGAGGAGAGAGGGAGAGAGAAAGAGAGAGAGAGAGAGAGAGAGAGAGAGAGAGAGAAAGAGAAAGAGAAAGAAAGAAAGAGAGAGAGATAGAGAGAGTGGGAGAGAGAGAGAGCGAGAGAGAGAGCGAGAGAGAGAGAGAGAGAATGTTTTTCAAACCATTTTCAGCACATTCTCGCCCCTTAAGCTGTTGTTAAGGCTACCTTAATGATAACAGCAACATTACACTTGGGGTTTGATTCAGTAGATTGAAACACTTACAGGAAAAAGAAGATACTAACACTGAAACCCCCTCAAATTACTCATTGTTGTGCATCATGATGGCATCGGTGGCTTAGAAGGTAGTGTTAGGCTACCGGATTCGTAGTCGTGGGATTACAATTTCGGGGTTTGGATCCTTAGCTCAGTCCGACGTTATGTCCTTGGGAAAGGTAAGGAATGTCGTGTTTGGCACTGACATTTCGTGGATATACGCTTAACTCGGAGCCTAGCCTTTTAAGTAAACCTAATGGTATATAGGGGGAGGGAGGGCTCTCGTGGTCTAGAAGTTACGGTGTTTGTCTCTCATTAAATAGGTTCAGGGTTCGAAACCTGACAGTGACAGACAATTTTCTTCTCTAAAATGTTCTCCTTCCACCTCCTTTCTCACCAAGTTCTGTTTTTCGCTTTCGTCTTCTCTTTCTGACCCTACCCCAATTGCCCCCTCCTCTGGGTTCCTGATTTTTTCTGCAGCCTCTCTACTACCAAAGACAGCTGCTACAAATCATTGGACCCTTCTTACTGCTGTCTTTACGCAACACCCCTGATCTTAGGGTAGATTTAACACCCAGGCTTTTCGGACAAGGTCAACAAATCTCCGAGGTCCCGTTTCCAAGTTACGTACTTTAAAGAGCCCTTGGTGGTCTGGTGGTCTTGAGATCGATAAGGGTTGGCTTCGGCAACTACCCGTGCAAAGTTAAAAAATAATTTCTACAAAATTGAAAAATGTTTAATGCTCATAATGGCCTTATACAGTTGCGAGCGCCGTAAACCACTTACCAAAACAAAATGCAATGAGATACGTACGCTGGTCTCCGCTATTCCGTCCCATGTCATGAAACTTCAGCTAAGTACATTTCTAGCTAAAGACTACCGTGAGAAAAACTGTGTTGGCTTAATGTTTCTACTAGATAAAAATTCAGATTTCGAGACTTTCTATTTTTTTAGAGTGTAGTATTTGTTGGCGTTTTTATGTTATTTTATTGAAATTTACGCGATAAGACAATGTTCACCCTTTTAGAATCTATGTCTTCGTTGTTTTGCCTTTCACGTAAAGTACTTTTGTTTTAGAAGTCACAAGTTTTCCCCTCGTCCCTTCAACTTTTTAACATCCTTAGAATGTTTTTGTCACCTCAAAAAAAATCTTCAGTTTCTAAAATGTATTTTAGTAAAAACCCATTCTCGCCTCCAACTGCTAATAAATAATTCGCCTTTCTTTACCGAAACTCCACGGACAAGGTAATCAGATTTATCTCACACGATATTATCAAATATTCACTTTGACGAAGGCATCATCATCATCATCATCATCATCATCATCATCATCATCATCATCATCATCATCATCATCAAAAAGCATTTTCAATTCTTTTACCGAGTGTGTGTCTTTTTCACAGTAACCGGCTTGAACATTTGGGGATGTGTCATCGGTATTGGCATTGTGGTCACCTTTTACACAAGCTTGGTAAGTCCACACATCATATGATTTTAAAGAAACATTGCAAATCAAAAAGTTTTTAAAGACAAAAACATTTTTTGAAAAATTTAGATAAAATGCACCAGGTTTCTAAAAAAACAACAACAGGACCTATACCAATTTTAACAAAACTTGAAAGAAATAGACGTCAGCTGTGAAGACTTACTTTTTGCAATATGATTAAAATAAAAAACATCAAGTTGCTTCTTCTTTAAAACAATCATATTATTGTTCTGTTCTAAATAGAGACTATAGTCCGGACAACACCAAATGGACATATTTTTGTCGACCTCATTACACAGAAACTAAATAGCGAATTGTCCAGATTTTTTGCATGTGCCTCTGAATTTAAAAAAAAACCCTTTAAAATCTAAATTTTCGTGCACATGCGACAAATTTTAATATAAAGATATGCTTTTTATATAATCATTAGTATTTAATTACAGTCTGCGCAGGGAGTTTTTATTAGACCAAGTACAGTAGTTAAGAGTTAGTTTGTTTTTGTTTGTTTAAATTTATTTTTTCTTCTTTTTTTTTAAACTGAATGCATGGGCCGCAAGACTGAGTTGTTTTCAGTCCAGTGGTTAGTGGGTGACAGTGGGTTTATGTTGATTGACTCATTGTTTTTTTTGTTTTTGTAAAGTATTTTACGACGCTCGCAACTGCATAAGGTCATATTAGCGCGCGGGACACATCTAATATTTTCAATTGGTTGGAAATTTTGAATTTTGCCCGGGTGGCGGCCGAAGCCTACTCTTATCGATTTTAGACCACCAAGGGATCTTTAACGTGCGCAACTTACACACGGACCCTCCGAGATATTTTGCCCTTGTTCGAGAAGGCTAGGTGTAGATCTTTCCCACCAGAAGATCAGGGGTGTGGCAGAAAGACATCAGTATCTCTGCCTATGGACCTGCACCGGGGGGGGGGGTGCTCAGTAACATGCCCATTAGCGCTTAATAGCATTCTGTTGACGCCCGTTTTTGGGTTTGACCAAACTGTATCCCCTCCGCCCCCCCCCCCCCCTCTGAAATGTCTGACTGAGCCCCTGCAAAATGATGAAATGGTATAGGTTTAACGCCCCTATCAACACTGTTAGGTTATTTAAGGGGCGGGACCTCCTAGTTTAACATCCGTTTCCGATAGGACCGAGCCAAGTGGGAAGTTCATGTAAAGTGTCTTTCCCAAGGGCACAACGTCGGACCGAGCTGAGGCTCGAACCCCCAAACTCTCACGATTACGAGCTCGGTAGCCTAACCACTAGACTACCGACGACTTAGCCCCTGCAACGACACCCTGTATTGTTATGGTTTTAGCATAGTACCGTTCTTGCTATAAAAAGTGTGCGGTGTTGAGTTTAATGAGGAACTAATTACTAATGATTTTAAAGACAGCACCTCTCTATTATTGTCGCATATACACGAAAATCGTGATTTTTTAGGTCTTCTAGAATTCCCCGGCGCAGGCAAAAAAATCAGAAACATTCACCTCTTAGATTCGGTGTAATGAGGTCGAAAAGTTGTCCATTTGGTGTTGTCCGGGCTATAATATGTACACTAAGATCAAATTTATACACAATTAATATTGCCAAATAAACTCACGGAAAGTGGTGCCTATTTAAATCTACAAACAGGTGTTGCCCATTTCTCTCCATACAAGCTCCAATACGCCACTGGAAATTATGAATAACTGAGGCATAGAGTCAATTCTTTACGCCTTCTATTCAGCATTGAGTTTCAACTATTCGATTGTGGGTTATTTCTGCATTATCCGTCTTTTAAAAAAAACAGGCCAAAGGTAATAATTTATGGGGCTCAAATTGGGGAGGTGGGACGCTCTTGAGGCGGGAAATTTTTGAGTTATACGAGTACCCAATTTTGGTTGAACTTTTAAAAACTGTATTTTTCTAGAAAATGTTAATTGGCTTACTCCATATTTACAAACCTGATGTTCCCCTAATTGTTGTATTTTTGTTCAGAGTTTTGTAGACATTAATTCAGATTTGACCAAGCTATTGTCCTTTAAGTGGGTCCTTTTTTCAGACACCATGTAAGATAGAAGTGGAACGGAACATTAAAGCAATTACTCATTTCTTTTCATTTTTTTATTTAAAGAAATGTTTTACAATCCCCTCAAAATAATCAGGAAAGGAATCTGAAGGAAATATGTTAGGACTAATTTCATGTAAAATGAACTTCTGGTTTATTTGAGATCGAGAAACTTTTATCAAAAGCAGTGGCTGTTACATCTGTATTATTGGATACAGTTTACAGGGAGTGTCATGCCTTGCATGCAAAGAACAGGAAAAGCAGACCTCAACAGGACCGTTTCCAAATAAAACTCTAAGAATCTCGAAAACTTAAAAGGGTGATTATATTGTACTATCGCGACCATGGGCCAACTCAAAAAAATATTCTGAAATTTTAAAGTGTGCATATGATACAGTTTTATTTATATTCACTTCTGGTATCATGCCATAACATAACATACTATTTTTTGGAGAGAAGACATTTGGTCGATGTGAGCCTGAATCTGTAGATCTATTGTTTGCTTTTGCGCTTTTCAGCCTTGCAAGCAAAAAAAAAATTTTTTTTTTAATGCGATTTTGATTCCTGTTGTGGGAAGATAACTCATGGAGTCATGAGTCCTTTCGTCTTTCTTCAGGGATGTGCCCCCACACAAACGAAGAAGTCTACCAAAGAATGCATTTCTAATGAGAAGATGCGGAGTGGGGTAGCTTGTAAAACATTATAGTGAAAGTAAATTTTCATTTCGATCTCGTATTGCTGAAGCTTCTTCCTCGCACGATACCATGGCGACTCATACGTGGCCCTACTTACACAATATTGAGAGTAAAAACTTCAGATTTCTGATGTGCTGACTAGGTCAAGTAAGTTTCGAATTGGGGGGAGACGGGCGCTTACGTTTATTATTTTTACCGACATTAACAGTGTATGTCAACGTAAGTCTTGCTTTACTTTATTACCACAGGGTGGCATGAAGGCAGTGCTATGGACCGACAGTCTCCAATTTTTCGTGATGATTGCTGGTCTGCTGGCTATCTTCATACAGGGCTGTAAGGAAACAGGAGGCTTTTCCGCTGCCTGGGACTTGGCCGAAAAGCGAAAGAGGATTGTATTTGACGAGTAAGGATGTGGGATAACAAGAATATAAAAAAAAGCAGGGAGGACGAAAGGCGGACTGATTCACACACACACACA